ACAAGAAGCTGGGAGGGGGCACAGCCAGGGGGCCTGACCCACATTGGCCACAGGGCTATTCCACACCATATGACGTCATGCTCAGTATATAACTGGGGCAAGTTGGCCGGGGGGGAAGGGATTGCTGCTCGGGAACAGGCTGGGCATCAGTCAGGGGGTGGTGAGCAATTGTGTCGTATATCACTTGCTTGGTACATTATTATTGTATTATATTATTATTATTATTACTACTACCACTACTACTATCATTCTATTTTATTTTACTTCAATTATTAAACTGTTCTTATCTCAACCCAGGAGTTGTCTGACTTTCACCCTTCCAATTCTCTCCCCCACCCCACTGGGGGGGAGTGAGTGAGCGGCTGTGTGGTTCATAGTTGCTGGCTGGGGTTAAACCACGACACAGACCAACAGGAACATTAGTGCAAATATCTAATGGAAGAAAGGAATTTTATCAGATATGCATATATATGTGATTTGGTTTTACTTATCTGACAGAAAATTTGATCTAAGTATTTGATTTATTTATTTGATTTAAACCATTTGAGGAAGTGGTTTCCTTCTCTATCACTGGAAATGTGCTATTATAACCGATAGCAATAGATCCCATCCTACTTTATTTTCACATTCATGCATTAATATTACTGAAAGCCAAAGCTCATGTGGCTTGTGCCACAGACAACTAAAATGGAGATAAAATGTCTGCTTGATATAATGTGAAAAGAAGTAAGGCAGCGCATATGAGCTAGCAGGTCATTAACAGCCTCTGCACTTCTCTTTGTTAATGTTTTGTGTGGAGATATGTGCCTGAATTTCACTGTGCAATATTATTCTTAAGGTTCTTTCTTAATAACTGAGCCCCTAATGACCAGAAGTGTCAAGCAAGGTATAATCCTTGTATGAATTAATATGTTGTTTAAAATTACCCTACTGAATTTACGGAAACAGGAGTCTTATAGGCAAGACTTCATTATATCAGCTGCTATAGCTGCACATCTATAGAAATATAGATGCACTGTCCTTGTGTCAGTACATGCAGCTGTATCTGTATATATCAGCCAGAGTTAGCTCTTACTGCTGTGTTGGTTTTGAATATCAATGCTATACAGAACAGTAATGGTGACTAAGGCAGGTTACAGCACAGGACGATGAAATTGCTGGAGGTTTTATCCTTAGTCTTCATATGCTGAAAGTAAATTTTATGCTGAGAAATAACGGTGTCATCTCTATACATAAGTCTTGTATGTAAGCTGCAAATTTTGAAGATGAGGCAGTCATCTGCTTTTCATAAACATTGTGCCCATAATGTAAAATAGTTTTTGACGTGTGATGTGAGATGGTAGGATAATCCAGAGCTAAAATGAAAACAGCATCCTTAAATTCAGCTGACTTAATGCTGGATTTTAAGACATCTGCCTTTTCCATATCCCTTCCAGATTCCCAGTGAGTTTTATTTTAGCCTGCTTTCAGGGAAAGATGCAATTGCACCATCCATCTGTCAAGGTATATCTCTCTCTGCCAGTCTCCTCCTAATAACTTTCCATCTTTTTGGCCAGTTGTCATAACATTAGAAAAAGATGCAAAGTCTTAAAGATAATTCAATTTCTATGTTTCATAAAATTTGTTAATGGGATAGGAGAGAAAACGACTGTCCTCTGCCTGGCACCTCCTCACAGAGGACACAGGGGAGGCCAGGACACAACAGACACGATGAACCTCTGGGAAACCAGGAGCAATTCTGCTGTTCATGGAAGCACCTTTTCTAGATGTAGTTGTATTTCAGTGCAGTAAGAGAGTAAGCACTGGTCAAGAAAAAAGAGGAATAATAACATACACATCAAATACTCCCTTGGGTTCCCTTTGTCCAGCTGCTACCTGACTGTCAAAGATGGAGAAAACACTCCTAAGCTACATCTTGCAGTGAGACAGAAGACAGAAGTTTAGTATGATGTGTGCAATTGCTGTCTCCTTAGTAAAGCTGTGAATTTATTGCAAAATATAAGACATGAAGTATTTTTTTTAAGCAGTACATTACCATGAATGTTGTACCCTAAGGCATCCTGCAGCTCCGTGAAGGTATTTCCTTGAGCTCCAAACTGCAGCAGCTCCAAAGAAACAGCCACGCTTGCTGGAGAGACTACCAGGTTGGTTCTGTTCTCTCCTTCGGATACATGCTTGTAGAGATTGATGGCAAATTCAGTCTTCAGCTCTTTCAGCTCATCATAGGAGATGCAGTTTCCTTTGATTAAGTAGCAAGCAGACAGGATAAATGCAGAGAAGAAAACAGGCAACATGAAGGCAAGCTGGGAACACTCTCCACCAGATAATCATACCTGCAATTAATAATACAGATATATTTAGGAAAGCAATAGGCTGAGCTGACAGAGAAACTTTCTCTTTCCGTCAGTGTTAAGATATCACTTGCAATAGTAATGATCACTGTTAAAATACTTGTCCAGATCTACCCAGTAGCTATTGCTATAAAAAAAAAAAAAAAGATGTAGGGACATGCTGATGACTCTGTTCACTAAAAAAACCTGAGTTTTCCAGAATGCTGTACCCATGTAGAATCGTTGGCCATTACAATGCGTGGAGACACAGAGCCCCTCAGTTAAAACATTAGCTACCTGCATGCATGATGGGACACCTTAGTGCGGTCTCCATGCTGCTGAGCACCCACAGCTCCTTTCTGTCTCCAGCAGAAAGGGGGTCACATCCAGCACTCCCAGAAGGAAGGCCACCCCTCGCGAGGTGTGGGTATCTAACTGGGGTCTCCAGGCTGGGGCTTAGATCCAAGTTTGCAAAAGGCTGGCTTCAAATTTCTCCCCCAGATATTCCTTCTATGAAATTTATCCCAGTGAAAAAGGTTGTACTTGCAAAAGGCTCCAGTGCTTGCAGCACAAAATCACTGCTTCGGATTTTTATGGGAAATCAAGCATTGGTCAACGTTATATTAAGAGACGCGTAGATTCATATTTAAAGGAGTAATACTAAAATGACAGAATAGCTTTCTTTACAGAATTTCGCCTTTTACATTGTATGCAAGTATATTTTAAAAAATACCGCACCTTCTTTCACTTCAGGATTTCCTACAAACCGTTCTCCATGCCCTTTGCTCTAGAGAGCACCTCTAATGCCTCGTATTTACTCACAGTTAGCTCTGTTAAATTGTCTTGCCTTTCTGTGTCCTTCTGGGTGTCTGAATGGAAGCTGTCTATGTACGTCTTGTCTCCTTCTTTAATAGGTAGTGGAGTAAAGACTAAGTCATGAGACTGCATTTAAAGGGATAGTCAGTGATCAGAGTCTCTGTCGGCGATGTCTGTACCACTCTGTCCAAATTCCTGTAGGCTACAAGCTCTATGGAGAGCCAGGCAAAGCAGCATGCCACTGACCAGCAAATCCAAGGCAAGGAACAAAAAGGTACACATGGAGATACAGTCAGCAACTTCCTTGCAAGCCCTGCTTGAGCCTCATGAGACTTGTGACCTGCTGGTACCGAGCAAGGCATCTCCTATCTCTCTTCCCACCCCCCTCCTTCTTTTATATGAATTCCATTGATTCCTCTGCCACAAAGGGGAAGAGAAAGGGCTCTCTGTGTACCAGGCACACAGCTATTTTTTTCCCCACTTTGAAACCTTATTCAGAAATCCCATGCAATTAAAATATCTTTATTTGCCATTATTTTTTTTTTTTAATGCCATCCCAAATAGCAAGATTTTCATTCACTCTTTAGTTTCCAGGAGGAAAGAAACAACAAAGAGGTGCACTTGAAGGAGATTGAATGAGGAAGGGATCGCTTTGAATGAATCAGCAGCAGAAGAGATGTGGTTGTGACCATTTTAAAAGCAGTTTCAGCTGTTCTCGGCTTTCTTCATGTCACAGGATCAAATCCTGCCTGTCATATTCACAGGTTCAGCCTCACAGCTTCACAATGGCACCTAAGGCAAGCAAGGTTGTGGCTTAAAAATGTGTGTAAAATGACAGCTTACTTATCTTCATGGAGTTTGACATTATATATACACTTAGCTATTTTACAAGGTATGTTCCTGTTGCAACTGGGAAAGAAAACATGGGGAAAAAGGTCATTAAAATCAAGCAACAGTGTTTATGTGCTACTGTTCCATCCCTAGCGGGGAAGGAGCAGCCACACAATTGAATTAGGGCCCAAATCAGCATGAAAAAATGGGACTCCCTTCATCTGCACTTGTGCTGCTCCTCTCTTTCTGCTCTCTTGAGAAGATGACAGAATCAATGAAGATACTGGGGTCTGTCTCAGGGTTCTGGGGTTTAGATCACATTTCTGCTAGGATGGATGAAGGGCAAGAGTTTGGCCGGTCCCAGTCTCGTACAACAGGCAGGGATGTAGCTTTTGCCATGGATTTCAATGGCAGTATCCTCATGCTGAAAATTACACTTAGGTTTAAAAGTTTTGCTGAATGAGGACCTCTCTGCTGAAGTTATCATTAATAGTGTCCACTAGAGATGTATTCAGAAGGAATGAAATGGAGGCCGCCAAGTGGTTTCTCAAAGGGCTCAGAGCTGTTGATGGATTAACTGACTCTGGTCACTGGTGAGGACTGTACAGCTGGATTTGATGTGATGTTCCCAGAGGCTCCAGACTTGATAAGACATTTCATCTGTGCCCTGCCTGATACTATATCTTGTGGATTTATTAAGATTTAGAAGAAGGATAGGGATCCCCTGAAGGTTTTAGACATTACTGTCAAAAATTGACATTCAATTCCCTGGCAAAAAATGCTATTCAGGGTTGGGGTAAGTGTCTGTGGAAGATGTAATTGAAAATTGGACCCAGTATAAATGTGATGTAGGACAGCACTGTTTCAGTGGGAAAGAGGAAAGAAAACTTTCTGGCTTATGTCTCATCACAGAGGGGACATAGACATTGAGGTGTTTGTTTCAAACCCTCCCTCTCTGCACTTGATTTAGGAAAGGAAAGCTATGGAGGAATCTTAGCAGCAAAAACAGTGTTTGCAAACAAGGAAAGAGGACTTAAGAAAACTAAAAATGAATCAATGCTGTTCAAAGCAGCTGTGGGGAATAAGAAATGAGTTTTACATGTAACGAATAAAAAAGAAAATCCATTAGTGAATGATTAGAAGGATAGTGAATGATTAGAAGGATAAAAGGCAGTAGAGTAAGAAAGAAGGAAGAGTCAGTAAAACTAGCTGTGGCTAAAAAGCAAGTGATAAAATACTCAGGGGAGGGTATGAACATTTATCATGGTCAAGGCCAGATCAAAAAATATCATGTCGCTTTATTTTAGCAGCCTAAGTTTTAAGTTTCTGTTCCCCGAAGTGGGATCCAAAGCCAAGAACTGGGTATCTGAGGAGAAGCTGGTGCCATGTGGGGGTTAGTCTGAAAACTGAGCTTGCCAAGTGAGCCTGGGGAGCCAGGAGCTGAGCTGTCCCAGTGAGGGTAGTTTGGGGCATAACCAGGGGGCTGCAAACCAAATAGGCCAATTACAGAAATTCCAGGTCAAAAAGAGAAGTGTCCTGGACCTACACAAGTGTTATTATTGGGCTGCTGTGGAGAAAGTGAGTTTCTGGCTCTTTTTTATGTTTTTTTTTAAAGTCTTTAAACTTGCCTGTGTCCTAGTTTAGGCATCGTATTCTTTTTCGAGTCTTAATCTGGATATGCATCACAAGGTACTGAGTAAAGTACTGATAAATTTGCTGGCAATCATTTTATTTCTAAAGTGCTGGCAAAGGTTTTAAAAAGGAATGCAATTGATTTGTCCCCAAGATAACTCTTCAAAGACAGAAAGGGGCAGAGGTAGAAGTTGTATTTTGAGAAATGCTTCTTGATATTGAGATAACTTAGACTGCCTGTGAGCGAAGTGAGGAAAGGCACAAAACGAGGACGTCTGGAGAAAATGCGGCACAGCGGTGTGCAGGTAGGTGGCTGGAGCACATGGTGGTCTGCCTCCGTGGAGCTCCTCTGGGCATCTACAGGAGCAGCTCTGAGGGCTTCAGAGGGAGCCCAACCTCTCTGTCCCCTCACTGAGCCAAGAAAACCACCCCTCCTTGAGAAGAAAAACAGCAAAGAGCTTCCTGATGTGTGAGCAAGCCCCCAAACAGGGAGCAGAACTGGTGGGAAGCGCTGGAGAGAAGCGGAAGGCGGTGGCTGCTTTCACCGATGGATTAGATCCTGTCTGCATCCGCTGTGTGCCAGCACTGTTACCGTATGGGACCTCGTTGTCCTCCTGTGTGACCATCGTGGTGGGCAAGGGGACAGACTGCTGAGGCATCCCCCACAGCTCAGCACTGACAGATGCCATCATGGGTGGCTCTGCAATGTCTGGTGTGAAAAACATACAAGCATAGAAAGGAGAGACAAGGGA